GGGGGGGGGATATGTTCGTGTTAAGCGATCTTCGTTCCGTATTAAAAGAAAAAAAGTGCATGAAAATACAGAGTAATTTGTTGGGACCAGTGGCGCACACAAAGGGGGTGTCCTAGGGGTCCGGACACCCCCCATAGACCTTGATTTTTTTTCGATTGGTTTGAATCCTATGTATATATTACGTAAATTTTGATTATATAGTTGTTATTAATAATTAATTTTATCAATTAATGCTAATTATTTATTCAATAGTTAATTTTGTATTGTTTTTGTTCCCAAAAATCGACAAAATCAAAAGAATATGTTGGGTGACGTATTTCAGCATTATACCAAAATGGTGGAATTTCGACCCTGGACCCCTCCCTTGAAAAATTTTTGTGTGTGCTACTGGTTGGGACCATTGTATATTATTTCGTGTTAACCGATATTTCAACTTAAGCGTTTTCGTGTTAAACGTATGTCACAGTAATTTGTGCTTGTGACCCAGGACTATGAAGAACGTCACCAGTAGACCATTTCTTGAAATCTTTTAAAATCAAATAAACAGAATACTCATATATACTATCTTAATATTCATTTACAGTACACTAATTATATAAATAGTATATATTTAAAAAACCTATATATATATATGTTTCACTAATTTTCCTATACTTTCCGTGTATTCAATTCTTATGTTCCACAGCTTAAGTTCAAAATCCAACTAGTTCCTCCGGGACAAGTAATCTATGAAAAAGGAGCATCGGGAGGCAGCAGAAGAAAAAGAAGAGAGAAAGAGATGCAACAACCTTCCTCCAATGTCTAATTTATGGTGGGCCAACCTGTCCTTCCCACTTCTCCAGGATCGCGTTGTCGCGTTCTAATGACCGCTGTCATCTACAGTGGCCGGACATCAAACTTTCATGCCCTCCTCCAGAATGGGTAATGGAAGCGGGCATTTCGAGTCCAATCAGCGCAACTTTTGTTTGTTTTTCCTTCGGCTGCTGCGGGCAGTTAGGGCTGATTTATCGCCGGGGGTGGGAAGGGATACCTTGTTTTGTCAGCTTTGACGAATGCCGCATCGAGTGCGCTCTATTATTCTTCCTTCTCCAGAACTGTCCCTCAAGATGCTACAAAAGGCAATTGAACGTGCTCATTCGCTATTGGTGGTGGTGGTAATGTCATTTGGGGTTCATAAAAAAAAAAGGAATCGTAGATGTCTGGAGAAGAATGAATTTATAGTGTCTAGTGTATTAATTGGTAGGCTTACGAGGCGAAATGTATTTTTTTAACATTAGGCAGCTTTAAAAAAAAATCTAATGTGATGGATTGAAATGAAAGTTTAATGGAACATAAATATTTGTATTACTTAATTACTTGCATTATTCCAATTTAAATATAAATAAGAATTTTAAAAAATTCAGAAATGTATTCTAAAGAAATAGACTTTTAGAACGTCTGAAAACACAACAATTTTTATTATAAAAGATTCAAAATAGTTGTCTGAATGTTTTTTAATTAAAAGTCACTTCGTGATATCAGGACAGTTTTCACAACATTGAGCCTTTTAAAGTGACGAGTACGAAACATGAGTTTATATTTCACTTTCCAAATTTACTACATCGCACCTTTAGAATTCTTTAGAACATAGTTCGCTCCTTAATATGTGGCAGCCCTTCATAATTTCATATTGTGAGTTAACTCGAAATCACATCTCGATATACACATTACTTGTTGGGAAGCTCAGGATCTCTGGGTGAAATGTTTACTTAACATCTTAAGTAATCAATTTTTGGGCCCAAAATGTTCCAAAAAAGCACATTTTTTTTATTTCATATAACTAAGCATAATACATAACAGAATGCAAAAATAGAAGAATTTGTGACGGGTTCACGCGTTTTTTCATTCACATATCCTTTTGGGTTCTTTGGGGCCAGAATGAATGGCAACTCTCTTTTCCAACCAACCCAAGAAGTAAAGCGTGAAGGAAAGATGCAAATTAGGAAGCTTTTAAATAACAGAAGTTTAGAGTAAGCTGGGTGGCATTTGGGGAATGTTTTGTTAGTGCGTGTGGCAAGTGTGAAGAGTATTTCGCGAAGTGAGGTAACAGTCAAGAGAGGTTACTTGGTACAGAGAGCCCTTAGTCAAGGTGCATACTATTGCACGCCAGTGAACCGCAACTTCTACTAGGATCAGATAGATTGATACTTCGTTGGACTTGAAAGGTAGGAGTGACCATTTAAATATTCGGATCTGTGGTCGCATTAGAATTGAGCTTAGGCGAATTAGTTATTGATAGTGGTCCGGGTTACGTTATTTCGGTATTGTATATATTGTGTGTTTAGCCACCGCGTAGATTCTCTCACATATCATATTATTATCTAATCTGTTATTGGTATAAGCTAAGATCTTAATAAAGTCATATTAAGATCATGGAAGCTTTTAGTTCTTCATTTATTCCTACACCTCTAGCTCACGCTGATAATCTAGGAGAAGGGCACCCGAGGGGAGAGTCCTTACAAATTTTACTCTAATTTTTAATTTTAAAGTTTTCACGCTATTTTTTTTTAATTTTGTAGTTGTGGAACACAAACCCCCCTAAATGTTTGCTTTTAAAAGTACACTCAAAGAATTTCTCTCATACTTACAAAAAAGAATTTCATGTTCTCTTTTTTTTTCAAATGGTTGAGGATTTTGTTTGAGTGTGCGTATATATATATATATATATATATATATTCAGTGACTCACACAAGAGGGGTCCTCGGGTCTGGATACCCCCCCAAAGTCCTTAATTTTTATTTTCCGATTGATTATAATCCTTTGTATATAGTACGTAAAATTTAATTAAGTATGTTATTAGAATTAATTTTATTATTTAATGCTAATTATTTATTCAATAATTAATTTCTTCTGTTTTTTTGTTCCCGAAAATCGACAAAATCAAAAGGAGCATGATACGAGAATGGTATACTTTCGATCCTGGAACCCCTCCCCCTTCCTAAAAAAATTCCTTTGCGCTTCACGGTATATATACATTTACAATGTGAAGCATGGTGTAATACTAAGCCTTACATTGCAACGGAGAAAGAGATGATATCGGCTTTTATGGATTATCTTTCCATTTTCATTTCTTCTCAAGCAACACATTGCATATTGCCTTGCCAATCCCTGTTCTTTATCGAATATTTACAAGAATTTAATTTCCTGCTTTCAATGAAAAATTCCCGCCTTCATCAAAAAGAAAATCCCGGACAAGATTTATTTCAGTATCATGGACAAACTGCGTCCCTTAAAAACACACTAACTCAATAAGTGCTTCTCAAATTCTGAATATTTGCGACCCAATATATTCAATCATAATTTTCATTGCGCCCCCCCCCTTTCCATACAATAACAATGTATTGAATTCAATAACACTATACTTTGACTCTAAAGCCGCATCACGATTTCAACCTCTTAAGGGCCACCGACGTATATAAGCGTCTTGCTCAACCAAAGCGATAATTGCGCCGAGCGTATATATACGTCTTTCCGAAATGCGATCTTTTCTGTGGACTGCTATCCATAAAATTATTCCGAAGGCTTTGGAATGCAATGAAAAGACCTTGTTGGTGTTTGCAAGGAATTTACTTATTTCATAGTATTTACTTATTTATTTCTTTTCTTCCCCTCCCCAATATATCAAATATGCTCGCCTACGTGGAAAACGGTGGCACCGGGGAAGAATTTGCGTAACTTTTAACCGGCAGTTTTTTAAGAGATTAATTATAAACCGTACAAATTATCAAGATAAGTGTTAATTTTTGTATTTAATTTTTTTGTATGACAAGCCCATGGGGTTACAGGTAATTTTTAAAACTTGTTCTTAACTTAGTATTGTTACATTAATTATAAAATACATGGTGCAGTACTGATACATTTATCAGTGCATTATATCAGTGTAAATGTGCATTTTATTTTTTATTTTGACGGAATGTATTTTACTTGTTTAATTCCATAAATTAATAATTTTCTTAAATAATCTTTTGTTTTCGACTTTTCAATATGCTCGCCCCCCCCCTCGGAGAGTAATCACGCCCCCCTAGAGGGTCGTGCCCCACCGTTTGAGAAACGCTGCTATAAAAACGTAAAGTATGTGCAAATTAAAGAGAAAGAAGAATATGAGTGTCTTTAAGGCGTATGTGCAAATTGGTTGAGGCAAGCTTTCGGTATCCCGTACGGGCAAACCAGTTAAGGAGTTAATTTTCTTGGCTAGAGAAAAATGCCAAAGAATTTTTTATATAGCCATGAATTAACTATACTCTATTCTATATTCTTCAAATTAATACAATTTTGTGTTATTCGTGAATTTATTCAAAATAAAATAAGAATGCAGTAAATAACATTTCTCCATAAAAATAAATATAATCCCATTACATTTAAATTATATTTTATTTATATTCAACTAGAAATCTAATGCTTCTATTTAAAATTTAAAAACATCAATTAAATAAACTACCCTTTATACTTCTTAGGAGTGCAAAATTAAAAATAATAAAAATCTTCATTTAAAATCAGTTGAATTCGAAATGTAATCAAATGACACATTCAAGATATAATTCACCCATAGTTCTTAATTAAGAACTCAAATAAAAATGAGAAAATTTACTTTGTAATTGAATTATTTCAATTTTAAAACTTTTAGACATATTAATGCAATTCTAATGAGTATTGTTTTTAAGGAATCAAAAAACGCGCGATTCAATGAATACTTCAAAAATATTTCTTTTTTCCAATTCCTACTATTTTAGTTTACTCTCTTCCTATATATATAATATTGCTCAAATTTTCAATCGTTAATAAAATACTTTATATTCCCCCATTCAAGTTCAAATACATTTTTTAAAACTAGTAGTGGAGTACACTTGATGTTGATACAGGTTTTTCAAATATTTATTTATTAATTAAATTAAAAAATGAATAAATAGTAACAAAAAAATAATAGTCCAACAGCATATATAGAAATGAAAATCGTTCGTTGTGTCCCTGTAGAGCAATTGATAACGCGTTGGACATCTAATCCAAAGATCGTGGGTTCGAATCCCATCTGGGATGTTCTAATTTCTGAGAATGTGATTTCTGTTTTACTATACTATTTTATTATAATAATTAAATTGAATTAATGAATAAATAGTAACGAACAAAAATAGTCCATCACCACTTATAGGAAGGAAAATGTAAAATTGAAAGGAAAATCGCTTTCTACTTTGTCAATTAATGCTGTGATTCTGTCATATGCATATTTATATTAATTGTAACTTTTTAATAAAAAGAAATTAAAATAAAATTTTTCTTTGTTGACCTACGCAGGAATTGACTTAAAAAAATTTTTTATATTACTTGTTTGAACGTAAATCCATCAAAACTTTTTCCCTAACCATTGAATTCCTGATATGAAGAAATTAACTTTTATGAATACCTGAGATCTCCCTCACACATTGCCAATGTGACCTGAAGAGAGAGAGAGAGGAACTGTCTGAGTAATAAAAGGAGGAAATTAAAAAAAATAATAATAACAGCAATAAAAAGCGAAGAGTAGGTGGAATCCTTCACAATGCAGACAATTTGAAATTTAAACTTTTCGCTTATTGAGGCCGTCGCAGATTGATCCCGCTCAAGAATACGCCTTGCACCACTTAATGGCGAGAATTTAAAGGAAAGAATAATTCCCTCCCTCCCATTGGTCGAGACCGGGGGTGGGTGAAAAAAATGGCCCCCCTCAAGACGATACTTTGAGAGAAGTATCAACTAGTATCGACCTGCTCTCTTTTGAAAAGGGGGCTTTTATATGGCCACAATTAAAACAAAAGAGAAAGCGATGGTTTGAAAAGAATTGCAGTTAAAAGTTTTCTTTTCCATCGGGAGGTTGATACCAGTAATAGGTGGGCACCATTAATGAGCCGCATACTTGTCGGAAAACAATTAAACCCTCTCGAGAAGAAAATTATAAAATTGGGAGACATTAGAAAGGTGGGTGCCGCTAAATTGCCTTTGTTTAGAGAACTATTAGCATAAGCTAATGGCCGCCCTTCTGGGCCACATATGAGGAGATTCCAAAAAAGATAAAGTGGTATTTATTTTATTGTTGCTTTTCGAGGAACCTTTGTTCGGGAATTAACTCTTTGTGTTCCTATTGGGGTGCCTTTTTTATTTAATTTTATTTTCTCTTTTTCTGTCCTCATTTCCCTTTTGATTTTGCATTCCGTAATTTTTATGATTCTCATTAAGAACGGTATCGTATTGTTTGGAGTTCTTCTTTGAGTTTGAGTAATGAGTACCGGTACGTGTTTGGGATCTTCTCTGTTTTTTTTTAATCGAATGATTGAACGAGATTTGATTTGATTGATCGATTAGGAATTAGGTGGTTATAGCGTTTTATCAAAAGAGTTTGAAATGATGGACAGAATTAGATCATGCAAGAATTTCAGGGATTATTTTTTGATTCACCCGTTACGTATTTCGTGTTTTCATATTATATATAAACCCTTTAACTTAACAAATATTTTGTAATAAATTGTCCGAAATTTGCAATTTTTTTATTCCTGAATTTCAAAATTTACAATAAAGATAGGTAGTTACGATGACTATTATATATATATAAGACGGCAATTTATTATTTATAAAGGCAATTTATTTATTTACTATTATTATTATTTTATTATTATTATTTTAAATCACTAGTATTAGTCATACAGTTAATCAAAATATGGTGCCACATGTTTCATAAATTCCTGTTATAATAATTTATTTAAATATTATTGTGAATGTTTGAGAAGTCCTTCTGTTTTCTATTAATTTTATGTCAATATTTAAGGTTTTTTTTAATGTATATATATAGACTTAATTTTATTATATCATAATTTACTAATTTTAATTTATGCGGTACTATAATACTTTGTATCTGGCGGGAAACACAATTTGTTGCTGTACTCACGAAGTAAGTGCTATAATCCAATTTTATTGCTTCGATTTTAACGCTATACAAGTAATAATAATAGATTATAATTTTATCGTTATTTTTTAATAGTATTTGCAATATTTAAATTTCTCTTAATAATATTCTTTCCTTTCTCTACGGCCCAGAGTATAAGTAAACTACAGGTGAAAGTTGGCTAGACCCAAAACTTTGTTTAACCCTGCAATCTTTGTTCCTAAGGCCAGGAGTTTGTTATTGTATACAATGGCTAATATTTCATACTATCTTGACTAATCATACTTAGGTTTTATACCTAAGGTTATATATATATATATTAAATTAAGAGCTTAAAGCCGTCTTATCTATTTACATAGAACATTACGACATGAAACATGTCTTCTAAACTCAGAATTCAGACTTAAGCTAATTCCATAAAAGTTAGACCACACTATGGGACACATTGTAATGCCTATAAGTAGCAGCGTATGAAAACATCGTTTCCTTTCATCCGATCTCCCGTCACTTAAACAAATCTAATAAATGATTTTTAGACATTGCTAGACTCTCTCGGATACTGTTAATAAAATTGCGAAAGTTTAATTTTTGCGCATGTTTCCCCTTTTCTATATAAGAGTCCATTCCTTAAAAATAAAAGTAGTGATTATCGTTTTTTGCATTTTTGCATAAGTTTTGTTACAGTTCTTTACGATCATTCTTATAAATTAGGAATTTTACTGCTACTGCCTTTTTTTTTAATGGGGAGCTTCGAAAAATATGTTGCATGTTACCTTTTGGAGTCTAGCAGCCAGAATATATACATACAAATACACCCACCCACATATGTAATTGAGTTACAAATACAAATAAACAGGAGGATATGATATGTTTATATTAATGTAAATCAAATACACAAAACCGTTGTACAATATTTTATCAATTTCGGCAATATAAACTTGCGATATAATGATAACTTACAAACTTTCATTTTATAAAAACTACTGAAGTTAAGTTTAATCATTATCAGATACATTTGGCTGAATTATTGAAACCAGTAGGAATCATATAATAAATGCAAACAGACAATTTTCATGAGAAATAAAGTTTTTCTTGAATTCAATTAAGAAATATATTTTTCTTTTTTTTTAAAAAAAAAAGTATTATCTAAAGTAAAACTTTTAAATATTTTCTCTTTATTATCTCATGACCCTCTTTTCCTCTGAAAGATACGTAATCTAAATATTCATTAAATCCTTTCTGTATATTACAAAACCTCTTTTTCCATCAAGAACAATCTTGTTCTATTAAATCAGCTAACTAAATTCATATACGCATATAAGGATTTGTTTTAAAAAATTATATATATATATCGATATATAAACTATTTTAAAATTTTCAAACAATGTATGAAAACTTAACAGCTTCATTTACAATTCTATCTCTCACTACTTCCAAAGCATTGAAAATAAAACACCATACTCTGTTTTTTCTGCGGGAAAAATAAGCGGGGTAAGAGAAAAAAGAAGAAAAAAGGGAGGGGAAAAAAACCGACTTTTCCATCCTCCACCGTAAACAATTCACGAAATCCCAGTGATTGTTTTCATTTTGGGTGCTTGGACGGAACTATGAATAAAACATAACCCTTTACATTTCTCCGTTTTCCACAGAATGGAAAAATTGGCCATAAATTTCCCTCCAGGCCCCTCCTCCATCTCGAAATCATAACAAATCACTTTTGCATGGCTCCGCGGAAAGGAAATCGGATAAAGCAACTCCCTCCATAAAAATGTTGCTCTCTCTCTCTCTTGGGCAAATCATAGCGTAATGATTTGATAGGTGGAGAGCTTTCATCCGGGGATTTGCATATGAATATTTAATGAGCTCAAAGAACGTCCATCAAAATTTGCAGATGAGGGAAGGTGTAGGAGATACCATTTGGAATTTATGGAGATGGATCGAACAGGGTTGTGAATTGCTGCTAGAAAAACAATCTTGAGGGAGACGTTTCTTCCCCCAAAAAATGAGTGTGTTAGAAAGTTTGATTCAGAATTATAAGATAAATATTTAGTGTATTTATTTTTTTTTTAAAAATTACTTTTCTAAGAATTTTTTAGTTTAATGTAATAAAAGTAATTTTGAGCACGAATAGAAGAAGGGGGGAGGTATTTTTGCAAGACAGGATTTTTTTTTTTGGAAAAAATATGCAATGTATACATATCATACGAGTTATTGGTATTAGATTCCTGGAAATATTTATTCAAAAAAAATCTATGGTAAGCAAAAGAACCATTTTAAATCAAATGTTGAAGGAAGTTAGCTTCTTTTATCATTTAAGATGATTCAAAATTAAATTTTGAATTAAAGGAAACATGCTAGAAATTAGGCAATGGCATTAATCTATATAACCACTTATCTTATAATATGTTAAACATATTTGAACGCATTTGTTTTCATTAATAGATTTTTATTTATTAAAGTTGAGTTTCTGTAAAGATCTGATTTGTGAAAGCCTTTACAGCTGCTGGAAAATAGTGATAACTAGGTTAAATATAAGGGATTTGGGGAAAGAGAATTAAAATTTCCTTTTTCAGATCTGAGTATTTACCTATCTTTCAATATTTTGATTGAATTCAATCAATTTCCTTTCAACGTTTTGAAAATAATATTAAAAGCTTTAAAATAAAATATCAAATATATTTTCTCTATTTAAAATTTCCATTATAAAAAAAGTACTCATAAAACGTAACATAAAACTTTTTTTAAAAAATTATTGAATAATTTCAAGTTCGTTTGGAAAAAATTTCCAGAATTTGATGAAAAGGAAAAACACCTTAACAAGTGCTGAGTTTCCAAGCAAGAATAATTTTTACAGTGTTTGGTTGTGGCAATAAGAAATTGAGTTATTTCGCACTGTTTCTCATTTCCTTAAGAAAGTTCAATTCAAGACAATATCCTAAGTTTCTGGTATACATTTTCTTTCTTAATTTTAACAAGAAAGACTTTAATTTGAGAATAAAATATTTTATGTGTGTGTTGCCTGAATAGCAAAAAGTTATAAATTCCCATTTAATTTTATATCTATTAAATTTGACCTTTTCAAAAAATTAATAATATGTGTATTAAAATAATGATTGATTAATAG